TCCTTGCGCCAGGGAGCGAGCTCGTACAGATCGGTTCCATCGCCGATCACAATGGCCGATCGTTACCGCGATTACGATCTCAAGTCTCGCGGATGACGCACTCCTTAATGATCCGGAGATGGAGCTCTCGATGCGGGGCCGAGGGAATAATTAAATGATTCCGCGGCTCCGTAATGCGATCCCCGGCCGATCCGCGGCGACTTCGCTCCCTAATGGCCGGATGGATCGACCACGCGATCGCCCACGTCTTCGAGGAGGATCGCCATCTTTAAGGAGGTGAAGGAGACTTCCAGGATCCCCCCGGACTCGAGTCACGTGGACCTGCACGGAGATCGCTCTTTTTCTCTTTTTGTCCCCTCCCCCCACCCCTCGATCGACGCTATCGGACCAGATATCAAGAACGTCGAGATGCCCTGATTAGTTTTCTTTTTGCCTCTGAACTCGAGGAGGCAGGAAAAAGTGCAATTTGAAAGGCGTCGCGGAAGACCGCCAGGGAGATTCATTGATGCCCTTGCGGGAAAGTGCGACCTACGGGAGGAGGAAAAAAAAAAAAGAAGGATTTTCGCGATTAAGGAGCGCGAGCATATCGGAAGTAGAGGGAGTTCGACGACCGCGCGGAGAGTCATGCAGTTAGGCACTGCGGAAACATGTGACTTGGGAATTGACATCGGCCGCGCCCTGGCCGGCAATTACGAAGGGTGACCTGCGGTCAAGCGACTCGCCATTACCCCCGGGGTCGCGTCGTTACTTTGAATTAAAAAATCATAAAAAATCGAATGCCCTGAAATTTCATTATTTCGTTGATTGCCAAAAACTTTATTGAGATACCAGACGGAAACGCAAGGGTCAGGGTGCGATGATCGCCTTGAAGATGCCAGGAAAAGCGACTCGGCATTACCCCGGGGGTCGCCTCGTAACTTTGAATAAAAAAATCGTGAAAATTGGATCGCACTCGATTTTAATAATTTTATCGATTGCCAGAAATCTTGTCGATATAGTAGATGAAGATGCCACGCTTGTAGCCCGCCGGGAATATCGCTTCCGAGCCCCGTCTCCTATTTTGTCACGACCCGGCGACCTCGCCACGTGCTCGCCGTAATGGCCGGCGACGTCGGCGCAGTTGCATCTGCAGGAGTCACCGAACCCTGTAGTGGTCAGGAGCGCGAACACGCCTCCGGCTTTATGCGTGCCGTTGGCACCACTGCACTTAGGCTGCGCCGACAATGGCCGGCCTGACTGCCAAATTGTTCGCCGAACCGAGCCCGGGTCACTGACACAGGATGCACTCGGTGGCCGAGGGTCAAGCGCGCGACATCCGCGGAAAAAGGACTCACCCCTCGCCCGGAAGGCGCAGGTGCACCAGGACTCCGGGTAGAACGGAATCGAGAAACGGGAGGTAGGAACGAGGAAACGAAACCCTGGACGGCGAGAGACGCTCCTTATCTATTTCCTATCATTTTCACTTTATCGCCGCACGCATTTTCCATTTTGCGCAACCCTAACCCCTTGCTCTTAGGGAAAAGAACGAGGCGAGGTAAAACTCGACGAAAGAGAGGTTAGGTCGTCGAATGGTCGTTATCGGGTTATCGGGCGGCGTTTCTTAATTTCGTAAGATCCTAACCTCACTTCCGCGGATCGGAGTTCGCCCGCGGGGGTAAGTTTCGACTGGAGTGAGTCATCGAAAGAAGGTCATTGGGCAATTCCTCCGGCGCGTTTCGGCCGCAGTCGTGCCGACCTCCCCGTTGATTCCTGCCGCGGCGACGCGCCTGCGCGCTCGCGTTTAACGATCCGCGGCCATCTTGGACGCACGGCGTCGGCGTCGCTCGTCACGTCACCCTCGCGGGCTGCGGCTTATCTGGCAACCCTCGAACGAAACGTATCGTTCTTATCGGCGCCGACAGATGGCGGTGGCGGTCCTACCCTCTGGCCTCTCGGTCGGCCATCTTTCTTTCCGCCCCGCCGAAAAGGGGTGACCACTTCCTTGAAAAGGAGTCCCCAAAGTTTCACACGATTCCTTGAAAAAAAAAAAAAAAAAAATCCTATAAATTAACATCGGGCTTCGTAAAGTAAATTCCACGCCTTAGAACGAGCCATTAACGGGTAATGGGGATTTTTATAGGTTCTTTAAATAGTCATATCAATTATCAGAGAAACTTTTCGCGACCGCGGGTATATCGGAACCCCAGCTGAGCGGGCGATGGTACAGATCGCGATATTACTCATCCTCGACGAGGAGTCCACGTCAATGGGGTCGCGGATATATGGATATATCAATGGCGGAGTATCGACCTCCCGCCGTCTCGTCCCATCGCGTCCAATTGGATCGGCAGTGTTTATTGATCCAATTGTCGGTCGTCTCAATTGTCCCCAGCGGAGGGTCGAGGCGTGGCCTTGAGAGACAGCGGAGACCTCGAGCTTTACGGAACTTCCGTGAGAGGAGGTAATTACGGAAGTGACCTTCCCTAACCTAGAAATTCCATGCCCTCCCCTGCGCCCCGCGATTCCCATTTAGTTCCTCAATGAAGATGGCGACCCGAGTCGAGCCCGAACTTCGGCTTGTTCGCCGACCTTGAAGTAACTCCTTCGATAGTCCCGAATTAACCTCCTTCGAGGTTCCTATCCTAGGGGAATAACCCCCCGTAATTCCCTACGGACCTTCTAATAATTATCAAAAATTTAAATGGCATGGATTTTCAAAGGGACTTTTATTGGTTCTTGCAAAAAAAAAAAAATCCAGGGAGGCGTTCCGACCGGTTACGGGGGATGATCGAGTTATCGTTTCACGTCGGACGGGGAAAACGGAGCGGAATGGCCATTGGCTGGCCCGACGACGTCCCGGCACATTTTATTCCGAGCCAATTGGATTTATTTATGGGGTTGCTGGGGGGTTGTCAAGGCTGAGTGTCTCGAAGGCGGTCGGTAAAGTAGTTTCCTCGTCCGCCTCTCTTCCGCCCTTTCGATGTTCGGACCCGGGATTTATGGTACATTTAATTCCCCCCCTTCCCCGGCGCTTCTTTTTGCCCCCCAGTCCCCTCTTTCGCGTGTTCTTCAAATTATTCCGGCACATTTTCCTAGGGGAAGGTCTTTCACCGATCCATCCCAATTAATCGCCATTTAATATCCCGTTGTCGCGATAACAATCATACCGTAATCTGCGGCCGAAAGGCACCCCTTTATTAAACTATCGCGTTTAAAGTTGCGTTTTTCTTTCCTTTTCTTTTTTCATTTTTCTTTTTATTAAAAAGTGCCAGCCATCGCTCGCGGGGCAGCTACTTCCGGCCGAGTGGGGACACCACCGCACTTCCGGTCCGCCGCGTCCGTCGGCCGGAACTCTTGGGAGGTATTCTCTCACGCTCATCTGCATATACCCGGTTACACATGAATACTCGCCGAGGAAAACGCGACTCGCTTTGCATACCGGGCCCTTAAACGCGCGACTTTGGGCCTCTCCCTTTGGGCATCCCAGGGCGCCATTGCCGCAGCTTCCTTTCCCCTCGTCCTTCCTTTCAGGCCCGACCCAGTGGGGCACCGCGACGCCGACGTCGCGTCCTGGGAAAAGGACTTCGAGTCGCTCCGCCGCGGGATCGATTTCCTTGCCCCCTGATTATTTTCTTCTCTTTTCCTTTTAATTCCCTCGAAAATTCCTAAGAATTTTCTTGAACAGTTGGAGAGATAATGGGAAGGATCGGAGGATCCTCCAGGTGTGGGAGAGGCGCCCTTGACGAAGAGGAACGCGAGGGGACGGACAGGTGGACGTCTCCGGGGGGAATGGCCGCCTTCAGGAGGGCGAGGTCATTGAATTACGCGATTTAAATAATTCAAGAACGACCCTGACCCACGGCCGGGTCACGAGGTGATCCACGGCCGGCGATTATAATCACAATGCACCTTAATGCAGTATGCACCACCGAGTGCTCTCGGGGTAAAACAGGTAGCCCGAAGTGCATACATTACGCCCGGTTGACTTTCTGCATCCAGAAGGAACGCGACGCTTTGCATACTCCTATTGGCCTCCCTGACGTGTGTCAATGGACGTAACGAAATTATATTAATAATGCATACGGAGGCTCTTGCGAATTTCCGGAATCGAATAGGGAGGGACATTGAAAGAGGTTAAGGGGGACTTTCTTATTCTCAAGGGGTAATTTCGGAAGGGGCGAAAGGTGGCATGGATCGAGGGAGATCGATGGGATTCATGTTTATTAAATCTGATCTGGATAGGCCGTGAGAACTCTTTCGGCGGCCCCGATTTGTCCGATTTACATGTCGACTCGTATTGTCGTACGCCGACAGGTAATTGGACAACGTCGCCGCTCGGAGGACTTCGACAGCTTCCCAGGAGGAGATGCAAATGATTCGCCGAGTTTCAGTTTGGTCGGCGACTTAGCCCTAATTTGCATGGGTCCGCAGTGCATACGAGAAGCGTTAAAGACGAGGGCATAAGGGAAGTATCGTGAGATCCGAGGAAAACCTGCAGGTGTTCGCACAGGGGACAGGTAAAACCATTATGAACCATGTTAAACACTTGCTCTCAACGCGCCCCATACACCACGTGAGACTCTTTAGGGTCTCGAAAAAAATGCCCTTATCACCTCTGATATTTTTTCGGACCCGTAAAAAAATGCCAGGTCCCTTTCTTTGAGAAATGCCAGTTTCTCCGATCCGCTGCGGAATTATTTCCGGAGGACGTTCCGCGGCCGAGAAATGGCGGACTCGTCGCGGTCCCCAGGAGCGAACCTCGTAGACAATGGCTCGGCATTATGTGCTACTCGGCTCCAAAACCCCATAGAGTCGTTCTCCGGGCCGTGTCTATTATTCCGCCGCATTGTGCGTGCCGTTCCGCACGCGGAACCCCGCGGCCATTGTCGGCCGGCTAATTATTCCCGAATCTCGAAACCCTGGACCGGAAGCCGAGATTTCCTCTCGAAGGCCTACCGATCGTCGATATCGCGGGGCACCCTGAAGAGGGGCTTCCTCGAGGTCGTGGGAGAGGAACTCACCTCAGGTTCCGTCGACAGGGGCCTCTTGAAGGCGTAGAGCGGCGCCAGACGGTCGTAGAGGTTCGCCCGGTCGTAAAGCGCGATGAAGGGGTTCTTCGTGCTGAAAAAGTCCAAGTCCACGTCCAGGATGTACGGGGTGTCCTTCTCGGGGATGTGCTGCCTGAGAATCGCGCTGATCGCCCCGAAGTCGTCCTTCTGAAACCGTGGAATTGAATCGCCCTCTTAGAAATCTCAATGAAACCTTCCTAACCTAAAAATCCGCGGTATTCTTTTTTCCCCAGTTTATTTCCTCGCTACGTAGAACTTCCCTAGGGATTAAATATATTTCCCTTAGAAGTTAGTCTCGTACCGATTGAAATTTCCTTCTTCATAACCTATAAATTAATTTCCACCATTTTCATGTATCTTGAATTTTTTTGTCTTATATTCTTTCGTGGGGGGGGGGTTAGGATGGGGCTTGGTCGCGACCTGGAAGTCAATTCCCGACCCCCCTGGTTCAAATCGGGGACGAAAAGGGATCCCGCAAAAAGTGTCCGCACCCTCTCCTGGACATTGTCCGGCCTCTCCTGCTTCCCACGTGGTTTTTTGTGCGGCGCAAAAAACAATGACCGCGCTCGAATTAATCCTGTTAGAATTGATACCCCGGCCGCTCCGCGAGCGCAACGGGGATCGCAATTTGCATGCGCTCACAACAATGAAATACAACGGGCGGATGCACGAGCTTTTTTCGGCCGGGGGGTTGCACGCGAGCCCGAGGGGAGGGAAGCAAAGCCAACATTCGTCCTGGGCAGAGGTTCTCACCTGTCGGGGACCGAAATCAGCCCGAAGCCCGTCGCAAAACCACCGAAATTCCCTCGAATCGACGAGCCGACGCTAAACGCCGGAAATAAAAAGCGGGACGAGTCGAGCCGCGCCGGAAGTGCACCGATAGGTGCAGCCTCTGATATCTCTGATAAGCGTATAAATAGCGCAACAGCCCGATAAGGCCGCAGCGACACGTCTAATGCAGATTAGGCACGGAAAAGTCCGGGTCTCCAGGACTTTTATTTTACCCTGTTTGTTATCAGGGACCAGATAACCCGGTGATCGAACGGCGATCGTAGCCGGAAAAATGAATCGAGGATAACTCGAGTCGTTATCAGCGGACTCGGGAGGAAGGGACGATTTTTTTCGGAGGCTACGATTACCGGAATGACTGGGATTTCCGGGGATTTTCGAAAGTTCGAAAGTAGCTGGTGGAAAGTCCAGCGCTAGGTGGAGCCAGCTTCGCTTTTTACGACCCTAGAAGGATCGGACCGAGCGACCCGCGATAACTTCTGCGATACGGAGACGGACATTCTTGGTCTATCACGTTCCCAGTCATAAGCCCGACCACCCGACAAGTAGGGCAACTTTGTTAGCGGAGAGGAAAATCTACGAAGTGGAGACAATTTAGGAATTCCCTGGAATCCGGGAATTTAGATCCTAACCTCTGATCTGGTTACCTGTGCACTAGGGAAATTAAATTGTCCTATCGGTCGATAAATGGTGCCTGGATCGTGAAAAGGGTCCTGCTCCACTTTTCCTGGGATCCTGTAGAGAGATCGAGGTCGGCAGAGAATTTCGAGCAAGTTGGAAGTACTGCGTCGGAGGCGGCGTGCAGAATCCGCTGGACCCCGAGATTTTTTTCTGATCTCTGAACTGTGACCCCTCCGCATCGCGAATCGTCGCCTCTCTCGCAGAAGCGAGCTTCGAAACCATCTCTCAAGTCTCGTGGAATATGCTGAGAGTGCATCGTATGCAAATGAAGTATCGACCGTTGAAAATGAAAAAAAAAAGAAAAAAGAAAAATTAATCTCCTCTCCATTTTACTCGTTTGGATTTTTTAGATGCATTTTGCGTTTTCGGAATTCCTGTTAATGCAGGAGGTATCAACCTCAGGGTTGGCCGGGTTCAGGGAAGCAGGGTGAAAAGGGCCCATTGTCGATCTCTGTGCGCTTAGGGGCGCAATTAAGGCGAGCAATGCCGTATGCAAATCGGGTGCATTGTCTTGACCCAATGCCGAAGTGGCGCGATGTCGGGCCTCATTGTTCCCGGCGTCGATCGTCGCGTTGCGTTCGGCCGATTCCCCCGAAAGCCGCGAGTGCATATACATAAAGGCGAATGCATATGCACCAGGGCTGCACCGCGCCCCCCTCTAGGTGCCGTCCCGCGATTCGTTTCTTCCCCAAACTTCCGACTTCCCTTGACCCCTGCACTCCTTCTTCTCTCCCGATCTGCGTTTCTTCCTCACCGCGTAAAAAAAAGTGCAGGGTAAAAAAGCATTCCCGGAATTTTTTTCCCGTGCACCCACAGGGTAACGTAGGATCGACGAGAAGACTGCACTCGCGATGCACATTGTGCAGCCTTGGGGAGCGGTTATTCCTCGGTCGCGGCTCTTTGCACTCCGGCCTCTCTCGACAAGGGCCGGAGGAATCGGCGAGGCCCGTTGACGCGTGCATACACGAGAGTGTCGCCAGCCGGCAGATGCATCGCGAGGTCGGCATTGTTCCCCGACATGTTGAAAAGGCATAAAGGAACACGTGGCGCGTTAATTAAAACAATGGGCCGCATACGTCCCCCGTTCCTTCTTTCTCTTTTCCCTCGGCTGTCTCTCGACGGCGCAGCCTCGTCCACCGGTCCTCTCCCGGGTTGCACCAAGAGGCCGCCTGCATTCGGCGAGTCCGCCGAAGTGCATCCTCCCCTGGGGGAGCAGGGAAGGTTTCCAGGCGAACTCGAAACTCTACGAGAGGGATTTTTCGGGCAGTCGAAAGAGTCGTTCGAGACGAGCCAGTCGGGGGCCTTACGGCCCATCGGTATGCAAGCTCCGCCGCGAGTGCATCCGGGCCTCACGTTGCACCGTGCATCCGGCCGTCGTCACTCGTCAACGCGCGACGCTAGGAATAGAGAATATAATAGAATTCCTTAGGGCTTGAGAGGGGCCTCATGCCGGGAAGAAAAGGGCGGGCCCCTCTTCCGGCACGAGGTGACTAAACCTAGGCGTCGGATGCACTCCTATGCACTTGCATGCCCTCGTATGCCCTCGGCGAGAGGGACCCCTCGTAAATCTCGACTCGGACTCCTCGGGTCTCGAGAAGGTGAGAGAGAGTCTCGCCTCGACGATTTCGAAATGGAGAAGGAATCGGAATCGAAGAAATGGACGGGCAGCGATGCACTTCCTGGGTCATCGAAGATGCACCCTCGCGGAAGACCCTCGGAGGGCGTTTTAGGGATGAAGTGGACCAAAACTCCGGGAGAAGGTGGAGGAGGAATTCCTGAGAGGCGACAATGGTTCGGTGTAGAAGGGAACGGCCGTTTTTACCGGCGGATCCTCGGGGTCGATAAGATGCAAACGCCGGGGCATTCCAGGGACCTTCCTTACCGGCGCTGCGTGCAATTAGCCTCGGCGTGGGTACCCAGGGCGGGAGAGGCGGGGGCACCCTGGGCAACAATACCGGGGCAAACAATGGTGGATTTTTCGCATGCAACTGATACGTCAGCCCGGTGTAATTGTCCGACAATTACCCGTCGGTCGCGCAATTGCCCGCACGAGGAACGAGCGACTCTGCAGGCTACGTGTTCTCACTCGGTAATCGAAGTCACCCGAAAGAGTTGAACGTCCCGGCTCCTCCAGGTGAAATCCTGAGAACACCTGTCCAGGGGTTTTCCTCGCAGCTTTTCACCTTCCACCTGGAGGACTCATTGTGCCCCCGCGTCGTAAACCTTATTGCGGGAAAAGTTCATCTCCCGGAGCATTACTCCAATTTCGCCATTCTTGCCCCGAGGTAAGTCCTTCCTCCTCCCTGTAGGTGGACTCGCTAATTCACATGGGTATATAAATTATGAATATCTAATTATATTCAATTTGTCCGATTAATACGTTATCGACGTACCCGTGTATACGTAGTTTATGATAGGAGCCGTGATCAGGAATGAATTTATTCCCGCCTTAGCTTCGAGCTGTCTGGATGCACTTCCGATGCACACGACTGGGTGCATCCTCCCTCTAGGGCTTATTAAACGACACGGACGCGAATCGCGGAAAGACGGCTCTCCTCGCCGACACCGTTTAGCCTATCTCGCGATCTAAATGGCACACCATAATGAACCGGATTCGCAAATTGACGGCAAATTGCGTGCAAGCGCGATGCAAATCGAGCCTCGAGTTCGAGGGCGAGTCCGGACGGGTGAGAAGGAAACTCGACGAGGATCTTCGCTCCCATTAATCGAGAGAGGAGATTGACGGGCCCCATCTGGCCTGCCCTAAAAAAAACAGACTCCAACTCGCGAGATTTTTTATTCGACCACTTTCTATGGATTTTCTTTATGCTTCATTTTTTTTCTTCCGTCTAATTCATCTTTTCCCTATAGGGGATTTTTTAATCGACTCTCGGGTTTTCCTTTCTCCTCGCCTTCGGCCCCTTTCCGGGGGTCCCGGTTCCCGCGGGTGGTCCCGGCTGGACCAGGAGAGCGAAAATAAGTGAAAGGGGACTCGGGCCCTCGGTAAGGCAGATCCCGGTGGCGATAGCGCGCGTATAAAAGGTGTATCTACATTTAGCCCGGACAGGCACCACTTTATTCCCGGCCGCGGTGCGCTAACAAATGTTTTCCACCGGCCGTGCCTCGCGCTGCACCTCGGGGACACCTCGGTGCAGCTTGGTGCAATGCTGCACCGCAGCCTCTCCTCGGTGAGCGGCCGTAAATACTTCCTCGATAGCCGGCTACGATAATTGGGATATCAGCGCTGCACCTCGCCGCGGAATTATGAAAGCGCACCTCCTTAAAGTGCATTCGCCGGTTGCAGCGAGGAGGCCCTTCGGCAAGGACCCCGATCGCTCTCGATCGGTCCGAATTACCCTTCCGGTCAGGGGGATGGGCTGGGAAAAAATCGGAATTCGAGGATTTGGAGAGGGTCTTCCGGTCGCAGGGCGAGCAAAAGTGCATAGCAGCACTCCCGAGGAAGAGACGAGGAACGAAAGGAGTCGTGGTCCGGTTTTTGCCGGTGCTCGTTGTCCGATCTGACCGGCGCTAAATTACGATTGGCTGGAGAGATAGCCGCAACCGGCAGTTGCAGCGGCGGTGCAGTTGCAGGCCACGTAATGGAATCCTGATGAATCTGCCGAGCGGTGATGAGTAGATCTCGCCTCGGCGCGGACGGGCCTCTTAAGGAGATCCAG